ATAACAAACAAATACAAAATGAATTTATCCACTAGACGATGAATAATTAAAGAATCCACTGCAGATCCATATTGCAGACTATTTGGTAGCAATTTAAAAGAACGAGATAAATCCATTTGCATTGACATAAAAAAGAGCTCTATCCAAGAGGCTGTTATATGAAACAAGCCAATTGTATTCATTATTTAAACATTTTAAAATAAAACATATTAAACATGCAGGTACAACATTTCATTTGGTCCCTGCCAAGTGAAAATGGCTGTGTACACACTTTTAGGGTCAATATATTAGGGGCCGATGCATATAACCACCAATAATAAAATGACTAGACAGCACTTAGGTTTCTTTTTTTTTTATTATTTCAATTGGTATAGAATGTAAAAAATGTTTCATAACTATGAATAGACTATGTCACTTTTTAGATTTGTGCATTCTCATTGTTTAGATTTCCTAATTTAGTTGCAAAATCTGTTATATCAGCTTGATAGGAAACATTAGAAATGTTCTGAAAATCAAGGCAAAAAGAAGTTATTGAATGTGGAAGGGGGCAGGTAGGGAGTGGGAGGTGGGACTCAGAATCTAAGGAGACAGGAAATAATCATGTCTCAGGAAGAACAAGAATCTAGGGTATTGACAATAGCTGAGGCATCACTTTTTCCTGGAAGTCAGAATCTTGAACAAATGGAAGAAGATCAGAAAAGTTTTGGCAAGCCCAAAATCTTTGTTATGACCTCTTGGATACTGAACATTCTCTGTTCAGTTCCTGAGAATTTGGAAGTTTTGAAGACTTTGTGAGTTTACATTTCAACTGCTTTACTTACTAACACACATTCCAACTGCTTTTACTTTTACTTACTAACCATGTGAATCTGAGCAAATTATTTAACCATAACCACCTTCATCTGTAAATATGGACATAAAATTATACTTAGTGCCTAGAGTTTTTGAGAGGATTAAGTTATATAATGCATCTAAAATTACTGGCATAGAGTATTATTAATTCAACATTGGATATTATTCCTAAAAGACATCAAAATATCAAAATGCTAATTATTCATAGTATTGGATAAATGAAGGGATCTTCTCTCATCCTTTACAAAGTTTCTCTGAGAGTATTTTATTCTAATTGTAAAAAACTTATTTAAGCTGAGTCAGAATAATCTGATGCAAGAATTATAGTAGGATCTGCCACTCAAATTAGATATTTTAATGATCAATCAATAGTTTTATGTCTTTAGAAGAATATAAGAACTATGCTGTGAAATTTTACCCATGTAAATTAACAAAAAAAATTTGCCTCCAAAGGAAAAGATAGTAAAGTTCTTTAATTGGAACAGTCTTAGTTCAGTAGACTCAAGTAAATTTCAAAAGTGTGTATTTCATTGCTTGTCTCTCCTCTTCCCCCACCCCCCATTCATTATTCATGATGGTTCTGTCTTGGTCTTGAACAAATAAACACCAGAATATTTAAAAGTACTGAACTGTCTGTCCTGGCAAGAATTATAACCCCAATGACTAACCCCAAAAGGTCACAAGATGTTTCCCTTCATTTTGTCATTTGCTTTTAGATAGGCTGCTCTCAAAATACAAGCTATAATAAGTAGCTATTTAGAGACAAGACAGCCCAAATCTATCATTTAAAAGAGGAAATAAGTGGTAAGAACACTGCATCCTTAAACTAGAACTTCTGAGCTGAAAACTTTTTGTTTAAAATAATTCCACATGACAAGGGATCAGTAGGAGAAAAACCCCCAATCGGTGGTGGCAGATACTGTAAGCTGATTCCCTTCCCACCCATCTCTGCATCTGCACAGTGTGTGGACTAGAAAGTGGGATTCTTGCTTTCCTAGATTCAGTGGATGGAAGTAGAGTGGCCGTGTGATCTGGTTCTAGAAAATACATTGTAAACAGCAGTCTCAGCTGAGGTTTTTAGAAAAACTTTTTTTTAAAGACTGAGCTGACATCTCCCTTTACACTTTGCCACTCCTCCTACCTCCTTCTTCCCATGAGTATCATTGACATGATGCTTGACATGAAGTCCTCTTTAAACCATGAAAATGACAGCCATGTGAAGACATTCCTGGGCCCAGCTCTGGAAACTTGCCCTTTCCTCACATACCTTTTGTTTGAGGCAAACAAATCCTTTACTTTTTAAATGCTCTTTTTTGGATTTTCAGTTGTTTCAAACACATTTACAACTGATAATATTAACACATCAGGGAAAACAGATTTTTCTCTGACATTAGAAATTAATTTTTCCAGAAACTATAAAGGACCTAAGAAAAGAGATGTTTTATCAAATTGCACTAAAAATCCTGAGAAGCTTGATGGGCATGATGCACAGCATGGATTTTGCTTTGCTGTGTTTGTCACTAGAATCAACTTAATGAAAACAACTAAACAGTTTTTTGACTTTCATTTTCATGGAGAATGAATATGTAACTTAAAGAGAATATGAATGGAGGGCCTCCCTGGTGGTGCAAGGGGTTAAGCACAGCACTGTGCAGCTATCTGCAGCTTCTGCAGCATGAGTTCAGTCCCCATTCAGGATGCTGACCCACATGATGCAGCAGATCTCTCCTGTCTTGCCACTGTTCCCCTCAGCAGTGTATCCTGTTCTGCTCCCCACTCTGTCGCTGGTGAGTCCTCTCAACCCCCACACCTCTGGCCTGTGCCCCAGTTCTCCTATACCTAAATAGATACATATTTTTTAAAAAGAGAGAGAGAATATGAATGGGATTTTGACATGTGGATATATAAGTCAGTCTCCTCAGATCTCTCTCCCAAAAGAAGGTAAAAACATTTTTCACTACTAAGCCAAAACATCGCAACGTAACAACTACAGAAATGTTTTTCATTCTGGGAGTATGATGGGATTGGGGAGGGTAGATAAAGTAAATAAATACCAGCAACTTTCACAACCATGTACAATTATTGGAGCTTGACCAATCCCCTCTCCAGACCCCTAACCATGAAATGATGTCAATTTTGGACACAGCTCTTGGTTTTTCCTAATTTTTATAATCAAGTGACATCATTGGACATTAGATAGAGAAAATTCCCTACTATCTAACTTTCATCTATCTCCTCAATAGGAAAAAGACTTTTGAGCTACAAGCAAAGTTTACCTGCCTTGGAAGTATACCTATGGGTATATACCTGAAAGTCTCTGTAGACCTAACAGATCAGAGTTCTCATTCCCCTGTAAGTAAGTTAGTGATTGGCCATGACTTGCAAAATTTAGGGCATATGTTTCCAGAGCAAGCTGAGGTGGGAAGAGGAGGAAGAAATGGAAGGAAAAAGCCTTCATTTGAGCCAGAACTGCTGTGCTTTAGGCACTTCTACTTAAGGGGCTTTGGAATGAGTTTTCATCTGTAGCAAGTTTATATTGAAGCAATACAAGATTAAGGGATAGCCTAATGCCAGTTACAAATACAAATATATTACTTGGAAGAGGTAACATTACACCATCTGGCATCTCCATAAACATTAAAATTTAGCTTACTTAGTAAATTAGAACAGTGGAGCCGTCTGGAGCTATTCATTTGACTCTTGGGTTGTTACATCTTCAATTGAATTAAATAAAGATTAGTGCAAACCCATGAGTTTGTATTTATATCCTAACAAGTATTTAATCACTCAATCATTCAATCATTTCAATATGGGCAAGTTCACTTCTCTGGCCTGTTGTAACGGAGCTACCACCTCCACCAGGTATTTGTTCTCAAGAACATGTTTGAAGCACCTACCAGCACATGTCCCAAAGCAAGGGAATGACAATATGATTGTTTTTTCCAAATTCTACAGTTAGCTCTTTCAAAGACTTCTGGACTTCATTTAACTCTTATTGCTATTCTTAGAACAACTATTTCAGGGACAATATTTTTTTCTTTCCAAATCTGAACCCTTACCCATTTTTTATTGCGGTACTGCCTAATAATATCATAAGGGTCTCTGGGATGATATGACACTGAACTCTTTCAAGGGAAATGCACATTTGTTATTCCTATGACCAGAGTTTCTGTCTGATGTTTATCTCCTATTCTATGAATTTGGCCAGACAAAGTAGAAACCACAAGTATGTTTCCCCCTTAGGCCCAGAGAAGAGCCAGACTCTTTTCTCATAAGCTCTGAGAATGAAGTCATGGACCAAGAAGAAAGCAAGCCCTTTTAAAGTTCTGCAGGGGGAGAGGGAAGAAGACTCAGCAGGGGAGAAAGAGTGTGTTGATGCCTTTGTTCTTCCAGAATGGCGACCTCACTCTATTCCTCACTCTTTACTGCCTCCTTTAATGCTGCCCAGAACATGGTGCTAGAGCGGGAGCATGCATTAACAAGGCCTGTGGTTAACATGCATTTTCAAGGCCTGCTCTAGTCTCAGTCCCCTCAGAACCACTGGGGGCCAAGTTCATCCTTCACTCCTAGGAAATCTTGCAGTGCTTTACTATTCTAATCTATAAACTCCCATTTGGCAACTTTTATTTTAATGCAAATAGCTTTTCTCCTAATGAATATCATAAATACTGTGAGGGCAGATTGTAGACAATAGCACTTACTAAATGTTTACAATTGATCAAAAAAAGGACACTTTTTCCGGGAAAAGTATTGAGCTAACTCCTGCCTGGTTTATAAGACATTTGAAATTAATTTATCTCTTATAAATCAAGAAATGTCAAAAAATAATGACTGGGATTTCACCAGATTAGGAAAGCCGGTTTATAACCAAGAGCAAAATAAGATGCCACCAGACAAGGAAGTGGTTTAGAGGTTAGGTATAAGGTTAGCACTGCAGACACTGCAGGGACAACCACAAGGAGAAATTCCAGTCAGGAGTATTACAAATACACCTCCATGAAAGGGAGGCACATTCCCTTCCCGCCCCCAATTCACATACAGTCGCCTTGGATTACAAATCTCAGTATATCAAAACCAGATTTTTTTTTTTTTTTCAGTTCTGTAACTTTATTTGATAATCAGTGGTTAGTTATCATTCACATTGACTGGAAGATATGGAATGCCTCACGAATTGACATGTTATCCTTGTGCAGGGGCCATGATAATTTTCTCTGCATCATTCCACTTACAGTATATGTGCTGCCAAAGCGAGCACTCAGACTAGGTTTTCTAAGTGGGAGTTACTGGAAACTAGGGGCAGGGCTGTGTGGCCAGGTGGACCTATAAAACATGGATGCAGGCTGTGCTTCTGTGGACTGATTTGCATCTCAGTACTTGGGGGAGACATAAGCATGAGAGACATGTAGAGACACTTGGAAGAGATACTCAGAAGAGATATGTGGGTGAGAGACACGTGGGGAGGCTGCTCCTGGTCCTTGGTAGAGACAGTGGCATCCATTATCTTGACTTCCTGTTGGACTCTTTGGTATGTTTTGAGTCTCTCTTTTTGTCCCAGCTCTCTGGGACCTGCTTAATCCCTTTCTTAAGGTTCCTTGCCAGAAAGTACCTAGGCAAACTTTTGGGCCTCAGTGGCCCCCCTTTAGGCCGAACCAGCTTGACTGGGAATTTGCCCATGAGGGGATGGATAATTTTTGGAGACTTACTGAGAAGCTACTATTTGAAATCCTTTCTTCTCTCTATGCACACCAAAGATTCATAAAAAATCTTTCACACTAAGAGTCTGCTTCTTTTGCCTTTGTGCAGTGGATAGCTGAAGCCCTTTTAAAGCATGTATCCCTTAGCAGTTTAGGCTCCCTGGGTACCCCTCAGCCACATGCTAACAGGATTCAGCATATTGTTGTGACTCAAAGTAAATCATTTTATACCCCTCTGGATTCTTCTAGCTTGGCAAATAGTCCAACAATTATCAGATTGATAAGAGAAAAAGACAAAAAGAAGTCTCGTAATAGCATATATACCTTCTATATACATGAGGGAAATCCAGCATGACTGAGTAACTTGCACACATGGCTTCAAATGACGTCTTAAACAGTTTAGTTAGGGCAGGTCGTCTTTGGGAGACAGAAAAGGAGGGTCCGTAAGGGAGTCTGGTGCAGGGGGAGGCACAAAAGACAAAAAACATGCAGATTTAAGTTCTGCCTTCTCTAATGAAAAGAGATAAGATTAAATCTTCCCCAGAGAGTCCTTTACAGACAAATTTACATATAAATACCAGAAACAACCTGTATCCAGTCTTCAGAGTCACTCCCATAAAATTGAACTTTGCCTAAAAGACATTTTGGGGTAGCAGATTTTTAATCCCCTACAGCGTTAACTCACATCTGAGACTGAGGACTGATTAGTGGGTAGATCCACATTTGAACCACTCTTCCCTGTGTCATGTGGTGCTGGGGAATACCCACTGCAGGACTTTAGACCACTGTGATTTGTCTATTGCAAAATATGTACATACTTGTTTATCTTTAAACAAAATTTGGTTTTACTGCACTGCAATTATTGAACACAGCATGCAATGGAGTTCACGCCAGTTGACTACACCATCAAATGGACAGTTTTCTTGGGTTTGGGTTCCTGCCAAAGGACATGATTTTTAAGTAAAAAAAAAAAAAACAAACAAAAAAACCCACAAAACTCTTACAAACTTTCTGAGCCTACTTTTGTCTTTTCTGAAATGAGAGTATTTCTCATCTAACCAGTCTTTGCATCTACATTACCGTACAGAACATAGAGTAGACGCTTCATGAATATTAGTTTCCTTCCTTTCTTTATGCCATAAGTATATCTGGCAAGATGATTATAACTTGAGACATTAGTGCATGTTTAAGCTATAGTAAATGTTTCCTGTAAGAAAGTAAAGGAAATAGCCCAAGGTTTCAGAATCACTGAAGCCCAAAAAAGCATTTAGTTAAATTAGTCTTGTTCTTCTCCTAAGCAGATGATTTATTATAAAATCAAAGTGTCTTTCATTTGTTATTTTTATGATATGTTCAATTCTTATAAAATCAGTTCTAGCAATTAATTTTTTTTCTTTAAGAAGAAAATAATCTTTCAAGCAGTATTTATTTTTTTTACTTCTTCATGCATTGTGATCCTTTTATATCTATATCATATCATATTTATATCATATAATTTTAAGTTTAAAAGATTTAAAAAATAATTTTATTTTTTAATGATTTATTTTTTATGCATACAAGAACTGGGGTACAGGCCAGAGGTGGGGAGGGGGTGAGAGGATTCACCAAAGACAGAGTGGGGAGCAGAACAGGCAGATCTACTGAAATACCCTGCTGAGGGGAGCAGTGGGCAAGACCGGAGGGCTCTGCGGTGCCATGTGGGTTAGCTCCCTGCCCTGGGATCTAACTTGTGCTGCAGTGGCTGCGTATTGCTTCATAGTGCTGAGAATTAACTCTTTGCACCACCAGAGAGGCCCCTGAAAAGTAATTTTAAATGATATTTTCACTGGCCTATATTTATAACCTTGAAAATGAGTAGATTTGGCTTATATTGGTGCTTATTTCTGACTATCCATTTCTAACTATTCAAAAAAAACATTTAGATGTTCTTTTAAGGACTCAGCACATCAAATGAATCTGCAAATAAGTAATTTTTAAAAGACAGCTGAGAAAAACAGCAACCAGCAATTTGTATTACTCTGGAAAAGAGCAAGTGCAAACATCTCTTTTCTATTGGTGTGATTAATAGACACTAATGAAGTTGGAGGATATTGATCACATATACACCATTATATTAAAAAAAGAACCTATCAACTGAAACCTACAGTATTGCAAACTAATGTTGCCTCAATTTAAAAAAATGTCCACTCAGGTAGAAGTTACTAGCTGTTGATCATTAGTGATCATTAGTAAAGAGTGAAACAATGTGCTTCAATCAACAAATATTTATTAATCACGTATTACATGCCAAGCACTATATATTATATACCTCTAGGTCCTACTGGCTGTGAATGAGATTAATTCATTCATTCTCACTAGTTACACTGATTTGGATATACAGTCAAGTGATAGAATCATACACATTTTCATTTTTTACTGCACTAAAACAGAAAATTAAAGTGTGTTATATTTAAAAATATTTTATCACAAAAATAAACCAACAAAGAAGCCAAAAGTTTGAACCAAAATAGAAAGTCAGATGTAATAGCTACTGGATTTATTGCCAGTAAGTTACTTGGAAACTATTTTCTTCCTTCAGAATTCAAACTAGCTATAGAAAGCCCTCTTACTCCCATAGGGCATATTAGCAATAGATACTGAGATCAGCAGTTGGAGGAGCAGAGACAGAGCTTATGCAAAGTGAAGCCATATGTGCTAGAGCGGATTATTTTTCACAAGTCATCTATTACTTAGCCACATACACCTACAACACACTAGGCTGGATGGGTGCATTCCCCCACCCTATCAATGTTGCTTATAACTAGCTCTGGTCAATGGGATGCAACAAGAAGGACTTAAATGTCCTTGCATTCCTTGATTGCTATGAAGAGAGCTTGTGCCAGCTAGCAGCTGTCTCTTCAGTCTGGACCTAAGAGTGAAATACACGGGTAGTCAATCCTATATTTGACCTAAAGCCAAGAGCCAAGTCAAGCCAAGCAGGATCCTAATGCAGAGCCACACTAAGCAACCAAAACTAAGAATGCCTCACATTATAAGCCACAATGTTTTTGAGATCATTTTGCAGGATTTTGGGTGCAAAAGGTGGCTAACATACCATCCCTGGTTAAAGGAAGTAAGAGCACAAGTACAGTTTATAGCATTCCAACTAAAAAACAGTAAGAAAACTTTATGCAATTAGAGACAAAAAGACTTACAAATTATGCAGTTAATTTAAAATCCCTAACACAATAACCCCACCCCAGGGAAGGGAATTATGGGATACAAATAGAGTTAGTGGCAGGTGCAAAAACATGACTACAAACAAATGAAGCAGATCTAGACCTCACAGCCTGGCTTGGTTATTGAGAGTTGGCAGTCCCAGTGCAAATTGATCCAATTACCACAGTTGAATTCATCTCCTGTTAAAAACATGGAGCTTCTCTTTTTTCGTTTGCAGTTGAACCATATTTTCACAGATCAAAGACTTTTACTTAAGTAATTTAATAAAATGAGACTAATTTGATATCAATATAGTTTGAAAGGCAAGCACAATGATGTTCTTCGTTTTAGTTACTAAGGAAAGTACAGAGGCAGGCTTGTTATGTAAATTATGCATTTGTACCAAGACAAGGCTGAATGTTGTCACAACAAAGCTCTGTGAGTGAAGGTTTTGCAACAGTTCAAATAGAAAAAAGGGATGAAGAAATAATTCTTTACACAACACATATTTTGAGTGTGGGATACAGAACTCAAGACAACCCCACAGCATACTAGCCAATGTCATATTCATGCGAGGGAAGAACTTTAGGTTCAATAAAAACACATTTTCTATAACATTGTTGATTTGAACTTTTCAAAGGAAATCACCCTGTCTGCAGCCCTGCTGGTGACCCAGTCTAAGCAGTTCATCCAAGGGTGGCCAATCCACTGCTCAATCAATGGTCTATGACATTAAATATCCTCAGAAATGAACTGGATATTAGTTTCCTATGGCAGCCATGACAAACTATTACAAACTGGGTGACCTAAGACAATAGACTTGTATATTCCAACAGCTCTGGAGACCAGAAGTCAGAAATGAAGATGTTGGCAGGTCAGTTCCTTCTGGAGCCTCTGAGGGAAAACCACTTCCTGCCTCTCTCCTGGCTTCTAGAAGCTGACAGTCATTGGCATTGCATGGCATGTCACCACCCTCTCATTTCTGCCTCCCTCTTCACATGTCTTTTTCCTTCCAGCTTCTCTGTCTTCTTTGCTGAGTCTCTTAAGAACACTCATCATTGGGTCTCCCCTGGTGGTGCAGACGGTTGAGCACCACGCTGTGAAGCTGTCTGCAGCCTCTGCAGAGCTGGTTCAATCCCGGCTGGCTGGCGAGGGTCTCACATGGTGCAGCAGACCTCTCCTTTCGCGCCCCCTCAGCAGTGTGTCTCATTAGTCTGCCTGCTCTGTTCCCCTCTCTGTCTCTGGTGAATTCTCTCACCCTCCCGTGCATCTGGCCTGTACCCCGGTTCTTGTTAAAATAAATAAATAAATCTTTAAAAAAAAAGAACACTCATCATTGAATGTAGGACTGACTTTTACTCTAGGATGATCTCATCTCATCTCACCTTAATTAGATATGCAAAACTGCTTATTCCACATAAGGACACATTCTGAGGTTCTGAGTGGATATGAATTTTGAAAGGAGTCACTATTGCTCCTTCTACAGCTGGGTCAAGAAAATTATACTGGGCCTCCCTGGTGGCACAAGGGGTTAAGACGCAACCTATGAAGCTGTCCTCAGCCTCTGTGGCATGAGTTCGATCCCCGGCCTGCCAGGGAGCAACCCACATGGCTCAGCAGACCTTTCCTGACCGGCCCACTGCTCCCCTCAGCAGTGTACTTCGGTCAATCTGCCTGTTTCTCTTCCCCGCTGTCTGGTGAATCCTCTTATCCCCCCACACCTCTGGCCTGTACCCCAGATCTTGTATGCATAAATAAATAAATATTTTTTAAAAAAGACATTATTTAGAGAGCTAAAAGGCCAGCCAAAGACTTAGATCCAGAATATATAAGGAATTCCTATAAATCAATAAGAAAAAGAAAAATACTACAAGGAGATGAAACAAATGGTAAAATGTACATGAAAAGATGATTAATGCCATTATTCATCAAGGAAATACACATTGACACTATAATTTGATCTTATTACATTCCCACAAGAATGACTTAAGTTATGAAAAGGACTGTCAAGATGAAGTTAGTACTTGATGAAGATATGAAACTGGAATCTTTATACATTGGTGGTGGTAGCATTCAAATCAGTAAAACTAATTTGAAAAATTGCTTTGCAGATTTAACTAAAATTATGTGTGCTAGAAAATAACTAAGCTATTCTACTCCTGGAAAATTATTTATTTTATTTTATATATATATATTTTTTAAGATTTATTTATTTATATATATAAGAATTGGGGTACAGGCCAGAGTTGTGGTAGGTGAGAGGACTCACCAAAGACAGAGTGGGGAACAGAACAGGCAGATTGACTGAAATACACTGCTGAGGGGAGCAGCAGGTGAGTCAGGAAAGGTCTGCTACACCATGTGGGTAGCTTCCTGGCAGGCTGGGGATCGAACTCTTGCTGCAGTGGCTGTGGATAGCTTCATATTTTTCATCTTAACCCTTTGCACCACCAGGGAGGCCCATATTTTATTTCATATATTTTTGACATCACTTTTCATTTTGTACAATATATGTATTTTCATCTTGGTTATAGTCCCTGTAAAATTCCCACCACCCTTGTTTTGATACTACTCCCTTCTCCCCCCGTGTAGTGGGTCTCTGGTTTATAGTTGCCTGTTGATTTTGATTTTTACTTTATTATAATTAGTCTTTTTCCTGATCCCTTATTTGGGTCTTATAAATTCCTGCTATGAGTGTGAGAGACCACCCAGTATTTTTCTTTTTCTTGCATCAAGAAGATGTGGTACATATACACAATGGAATATTACTCAGCAATCAAAAAAGATAAACTCATGCCATTTGCTGCAACATGGATGGAGCTGGACGGGATCATGCTCAGTGAAATAAGCCAGAAAAAAAAAGAAAATACTCCTGGAAAATTCTACTCCCAAAAGAAATGAAAGTTTATGTCTGCCAAACGTCATATGTAAAAATGTACATAGTTGATTGATCGTAATAACACAAATTAGAAATAATCCAAATGCTTATTAATAGAATGGATAAGTGAATACTATGCAATGTTGAATAGCAATGAACAACAACAAACTACTGCTTTACACAGCAAATGACTACAAATCCCAGACATAGTAATGAGCAACAGTATAAACCATGAATGTATCCATTGGGTTGTCAGAAAAGTCATGACGCATTTTTGCTTGAAAAACAGAAAAAAATGTCATGGACTTTTCCAACAACACAATATATGAAATTAAAGAAGAAAAATGAATTTACAATGAATGAGGCCACAGAGTGAAACTCTTTTGGGAAAATGTTGCTTGGGAAGAGCCTGAGGAGCTTTCTGAAGTGCTGAAAGTAGTATGTATCTTGATTGGGCTGTATCTGTTATGGTGCACAGACATACCACACTCTAAATGTTTGTTCTTTGCTGTATATGCATATAACATATATGTACTTTTTAAAAATGTGTGGGTTATAACTTGATAAAAAGTAAATAAAAAGAGGGGAAATGAAAAATAAATAAAATTACCATTTCCTGTATCTGTAAGGACAATATATGCAAAACTCATGCCCAAGATTTAACTGTTACGGTGGCAATACTACAAACAAGTGTAGATGCACAGTCTCAAAAAGTTTTCTTTGTAAAAGTCAAGGTCTTGATAGAAAAACTTGGACCCTGACATCTAGCATAGTGATATTTGTATAGATAAATTCACTATCTTGAATCCCCAGAATGTTATTAATCTTCTGTCTGAAGAATCAGTCCTTTCACCCTTACTAGAGAGGAAAATTACACAAAGGCTAGAAGCTTTGCAAAAACCTCATCTCAGTCAGATGTCTTGCAGGATGGATGCTTTTTTCTGTTCAAGATTTGTTATCACATCTTTGTTGTCTCAGAAATATAGGGGTCAAGTGGGAAAATACATTTTCTACTTTGGGAGGAAACAGTTATACAATCAAAACAATTACAGCACCAGAATAACAAGATCTGAAGGAACGTACGTGGAAGTGTATCTTGAAAACATTCAATCAGGGTGATGATTAGGGGATAGAATATAAATCTACATGGTGGAGAACTTGTTAACATTGGGACACTCTCCTGTGACTTGGGTTTGGAATCATTCTAATACTGCTGAGATAGCGTCTCAGAGCTTGGCCATGTCCTTTCACATGTTATTTTAAGTGAGGTTGAGATGCTACCTCATTTACAGGGAACTACTTTGGCAGACTATTGATGGAGTCATAAGTCTCAGGGAGGTAAAAATGTTAATAAAGATTTATTACTTATTACATATGCTCAGAAAACCCACTATCTGATCACATTCCCTAGAAAATCCTAGAGGACATTGGCTTCAAAAAGGGAATAAAGAACACACAAGTGGGCCTCCCCGGTGGCGCAGCGGTTTAGCGCTGGGTTGAGAAGCTGCCCGCAGCCTCTGCAGCGCCGGTTCGATCCCCGGCTGCTCCCCGGCCACCGGAGGAGGGTCCCACATGGTGCGCAGACCTCTCCTGCCGCCCGCTGCTCCCCTCAGCAGTGTACTTCGGTCCTTCTGCCTGCTCTGCTCCCTGCTCTGCCTCTGGTGAATTCTCTCACCCTCCCGCGCTTCTGACTGTACCCAGTGCTTGTATAAATAAATAAATCTTAAAAAAAAAATTTAAAAAAAAAGAACACAAAAGAACTTTGCATAGGGATCTCTGAGAAACTCCATTACACATTGCCTCTATATATTAAAGAGATGCCTTGAAACCACCCTAATAATATCAATAGCGATGGGAGAATTCCAGAATGGCAGAGGCCAGGGAGTAGCATCTAACTGACAGAGTCAATATGGACATAACTACTTAAGAGACAGCAAGGCTGAAGTGGAAATCTGAGTATCTTGACCTAGAAATCTGTGGTGATAGTTACTAGATTATGATGTTCTTAGGGGTAAGGTGTATACACAATCAAAGTGCTATTTTACTTGCCTTGTAAACAAAAGAAAAAAACAAGCACTGAGAAGACTGACATCAGCTGCAAATTAAAAAAAAACTACTGAGGTCTTTCATGCAGTTTTACCCAGTTCATTGGCTAGAATTCATGATTAAAGAAGTGCAGGGGTTCCTTTGAGGACAAGCTATATAATACCTCCTAAATTATACACACTATTTCCCATTCATGATTCAGTCATTTACCATAGAAGGTGTACACTGAGGAAAAAAGTCTTCCCAAACTTTTTGATGACTGTAACATAACAGGGTCTGAAGTGAAACAAGCAAACAAAATACCATCACAGGCCACCAAAAAGGACTTACAGAGGCCACATCATAAATGTAGATCTGTGTACATTAATCCATGTTGCTGTGTGCTCCAAAATTCTTCAGTATACACTCAGAAGATAGGAAACAACCTACTCTGTGGTTAATTCTCCAGTTCTTATGTATGCAACTTGAAAGGACATAGTTATGGTTTGGCAGAAAATTCACTATCCTGACAATGTAAAAGCTAGTGGCAAAAAGAGTTGTGAAGAAATCTGAAAATACCCTCCTTCATTCTCACTGTGGTCAAAGTTCTAAGCTCTGGTACATGCATGGTATATAGCTCTTGATCTTATAAACACATTCTTTTCAATACTCAACAATAAAGAGGATCAAAAATTTTTAACTTTATCTGAAGGTAGCAGTCTATGTTACAGTCTAGATTCTTCTACATTCTTCACATTGTCTGCAAAATTCTTGACCCTCAACATTCTCAGAAAATCAAGTTGGCCCATTGTGATATCATGCTAAGTAGACCTGGGGACTGGAAAGGGACAAGTATTTTAGATGCCTCGGTAAAACCCCTATATGATGGATGATGGAAGATAAACAATAAAAAGATTCAAAGACTTGCTACTTCAATGAAACTTCCAGAGGCTCAGTAGTCTGGGATGACATGGACAGGCCACCTAAGAACGGGACAAGTTGTTGCACTTTGCCCCACAATTACTAAGAGACATAGGACTAGATGGACCTCTTATATTTAGAGCAGCATACACTGAATTGAGGAATACTGCTCTAGCCCATTTATTAAGCAATTTAGGAGGTTTTTGGGCAAGGTAGAGATGGAAACAGGATGCAGAAACAGAGACTACTATTTTTTGTTCTCTTATTGTTTGATATAGGAAAGTTTGCCTCCATTATCTTACTGTCTAAAAAAATCTTGACTTATTGTTATAATAGCTAAATTTATCCTTCCATCTAGCGGTCTTATCAAGACATTTGACTAGCCTTACACCATTCTGCATGCTACTCTATGAATGAGCTTAATAATCTGGGAACTTTCTTTTCCAATTTTTTTTTTTTTGGTGGGGGAGGCATGCTATATGCCTAAATGCATATATGAAAGTTTAATGCAGCTGTAATAATTTGGTTATTCTAATAGATTTAGCATTATGGAAATAAAGTGATGGGATTCAACCAGATATGTTCATCTTTGTTTGCTTTAAGTGCTGGATGCTTATAAGTTGATTTTTAAATGCCTAAACTCTAGTGTGACAGGGAAGACTTTGAGCCCCAAGTTTCTTTCTTAAGATGGTCAAGGAAACATTCTAGAGTCCTTATCAAGTTCAATCATTTAAAGATAGAAATAGTAAGAGGCTTCTTCTTGTAACTCAATTCTGACCCTCTTCCTTCTCTTTCAATTACAGTGTCAGGTGGACAACATTGATCATATAAATGATGTTTAATGTTCTCATTCTTTCCCACCTTCTGTTCTTTGGACTTTTATGCATCTTAATACAAATTCTACATCAAAGGAGTTAATAGTAAAGTTGCCTGGGCATTGTTAGCTGAAAAATAAATATAACTAACTCATTGCAACAAAAAATATGTTAATAGCTTTTCACGAAGATGGCACCAAAAGCAAAGAAGGAAGCCCCCGCCCCTCCCAAAGCCAAGGCCAAGGCAAAAGCTTTGAAGGCCAAGAAAGCAGTGCTGAAAGGCGTCCACAGCCATAAGATAAAGCAGATCCGCACTTCACCCACTTTTCGGAGGCCCAAGACATTGCGACTCCAAAGGCAACCCAAATATCCACGGAAGAGCGCTCCCAGGAGAAACAAGCTTGACCACTATGCCATCATCAAGTTCCCTCTTACCACTGAGTCAGCCATGAAGAAAACAGAAGACAACAACACACTTGTGTTTATTGTGGATGTCAAGGCCATCAAGCACCAGATCAAACTGGCTGTGAAGAAGCTCTATGACATTGATGTGACAAAGGTCAATACCCTGATCAGACCTGATGGAGAAAAGAAGGCCTATGTTTGACTGGCTCTTGACTATGATGCTTTGGATATTGCCATCAAAATTGGGATCATCTAAACTGACTCCAGCTGGCTAATTTTACAATTTTTCACCATAAAAAAAAAAGTTAATAAAATATAAACTAAATTCACCTCAATAGACTGTTACCTTTTCAAATATCACAATTATTGATGTTTTCAATGAAAGGAATTACTGAATGATTTTAAAGTAATCAAACCAAGACATTTAATTTGAAAATCACTAAGGATATGATATAAGGACCAAAAAAAGGACATAATTTTAAAGTATTCAACTTAAATACACACATGTAAATAAAGAGAAAATAATTTTGTGATAAATTAGCTAAAGAACAAATGGGAGCAATGATGTGGTTTGTTTCACTATAAAGTATTTTTTTTTTTACAATTTATCACCAATTTACACCAATTTACAATTTATCACCAATTACAATTTACTATTTATCACCAACCTGTAAACTCTATTATGCAATAAAATGTAATAATTTCCTTCTGCTTGTAGATTTAGCAACTCAGAGATTCATTACAGATCATAATAGGATCCAATTTGTAAAATTAATTTTAATACTGCAGGAGCTTGTCTGAATCTCTGAATTACGCTTCAAAACGTCCTAATGACAATCTTGCTCTTCTTAAAATGCTATTTTTTTTTAATTTATTTATTTATACAAGCATTGGGTACAGTCAGAAGCGCGGGAGGGTGAGAGAATTCACCAGAGCCAGAGTGGCAAGCAGAACAGGCAGTCTGACAAAGACACTGCTGAGGGGAGCAGCGGGTGCAGCAGGAGAGGTCTGCGAGCCATGTGGGACCCTCACCCGGCAGCTGGGGATCGAACCGATGCTGCAGAGGCTGCGGGCAGCTTCGCAAGCCAGCGCCCAACCGCTGAGCCACTGGGGAGGCCCTAAAATCCCATCTTACAACTTGGTGCTCAGTCTTCATCAGCCTAGATTAAAAAAAAAAAAAAACAGTAAGGGAACGTTTATACCCCAGGTGAAGTGATAACTGGAAGGGTTGGTGAAGTCTTTGTGAAGAACATACATGAATTCTTTTATACAAACTATACTCTAACTAGCATCATCTCCAGAAAAATCTCCCATTGAAAGGTGAAACATTTAATTATCTTAGATGTCTGTCAAAGACAATTTTCTTTTTTCAAACCCCACTAAATGAGTCAACTTTGTAAAACTAGAAACAACAAAATATTTCATATGAAAACACTGTCCTTTTCTTTTTCTATACTGTCTTCTTCCAGTGCCAAAATAAAACAATAACATTTATCATTATGGTTATATACCACATTTATAAGTGACACCAAGATTTAGGAAAACCAAAGTATAAGAAATGGGAGAAGGTCAAGGTTTATAAAAAAAGGATATAAATATTGAAAAATGTGCAAAAATGAATAAAATTTGTGACAGCTATGACTGATCAATAAAGTCATAAGTATTAGTATTGACTGAAAGATATGGAAATCACAAACATGTCTAATCATTTCAAAAAGCTGTGGCATGAGAAGATATTCATGATGGATTAAACAAATTATAGATAAAAGAAGTATAAGGTGATCTTCCTTCTCAGAGTTAGGAAAATAAATTCCCAGCAATGGTGCTAGTTATTTGAAAAAAGAAAAAAACAAAACAAAACACCAAGATCCTGTTTACTCTAGTTCAGTCTAGTGTAGATTTCTTTCCTACCTGGACTGAGACTTACACTACGAGAAGCACACCTTTGGATACATAATGCATACAGGGCATTGGCCCAGAGGATATAATTGCACCCAGTGAAGGTGAAAACTCTTCCTCTCTTTAGCATGGATTCTCTTGTAGATCACACATGAGCTGAGAGATTCAGGCCTCCCTTTCCCTCCCTCCCTTCTACTGAGAGCCTATATTCTTCAGGCGATAACTTCAACCATAGGTATCAGAAAATGAAAAGGAGAACGTCTTTTTCCTTTAGGAGCTCAGTTTGGCAGAAGATACCAATAGGGAAACAAATACAATGCAAAGTGATCTATTTTTCTACTAACTGATATGTGAAAAGAATAATATCCTTTATGAGCTAGAATGTGAGAAAACAGAGCACTGAACACCACTGCTAGAAAACTAACAAGTTTTCCAGAATCCTCTTTGGTACTATGTAGCATTAATCAGCTCAAAATATAGGTACTACTATATCTAGAAAATGGCAGTTTTGCATATATCAATAATGGAAAAATATCTAAGTTATATCAAGTGAAACTTGCTGAAAACTGTGCATATTCTAAACGGGGGAATTCATGCGCACACACACACCAATTCATATAGTCTACACACATGAGCACATGTAAACATATACACATGTTCATATTTTATACATACATGGATACATGTGTACACATGTTAATATATTGTGCACACATGAGTACATGTGTGCATACATATCTACACTGTTGTACCCACATTAGTACATATGCATACATATCCATTCATACATTGTATAAGCATGAGATAAAACCAATAAACATCTATCTAGAAGAGTTCCTTTACATTATTAAACTTTTAGTACCATTTACTTTATTTATTTATTCATTTTTTTATCAAGTACAGAATACCTCTGTTTATGTCTATCTGTCTGTCTCACTAAGTTTACTTTTTTTTTTAATTTGAAAGTTCAAATTGCAAACTATTCTAAGTGTGACTTAGGGCACTTGACATAGAGACTTTTCACTGTAAAGTCACATAGTCAAGTCACAAAGTCTTAGTACCATTTATTTTAATATTACATGCATGTATCAAAATTTATTTTTAAAGAGATCTATCAACTTTATATTACCAAAATTGACTTTAAAAAAAAGGAAGTTGGGTCCTCCTTGCTGGTGCAAGGGGTTAAGTCTCAGCACTACGAAGCTATCGCAAGCCACTGCAGCATGAGTTCAATGCCCAGCCAGGGAGCTAATCCACATGGTGCAGCAGACCTCTCTTGTCTCACCTCCTGCTCCCCTCAGCAGTGTATTTCAGTAGATCCTCCTGCTCTGCTCCCCACTCTGTCTCTCATGAATCTTCTCACCTTCCGCACCTCTGGCCTGTCCTCCAGTTCTTCCATGTAACAATAAATAAAATCTTTTTAAAAAAAATTAAAAAAGGAAGCCATATATAAACAAAGGAAAAATGTCTAGGATGATCTGTACCAAAATGTGAATGGTGTAATCATTGTCTATGAACATTTTTTCATTTTCTTCATTTCTATCCAGGCGTCTATATCTCAAGTTTCTAATTTTGCTGGTTCTTCTTTTCCCAGAGTTCAGCCTTTAATAGTTTTCTCCCCTTCGCATCCTCTTGGGGATCTCATGGAGTCTCAAGGCTGTAAATACCAACTACATGCTAAACAAGTTTATGTTTCCAGGCTAGATCTGAGCTCCAGAGTTAAATATTCAACTGTTTACTTAACATTTCCACTTGTATGTCTAAACGTCATCTCAAATATAACATCCAAAAAATGAACTCAATACCTGCTGCCTTTTAACACACAAGCTTTCCCATCTTAGTCAATGGCAAATACTTTCTTGTAGTTGCTCAGCCAAAAACCTAGGAGTCATTCTTGACTCATTTTCTTGCACCTCACATCCAGTCTCTAATTAAACATGGTTAGTTTTCCCATCAAAGTGGATGTAGGTTTTGACCACTCCTCACAGCTGCCATCTTGGTCCAGGTTCCATCATCTCTCACATGAATTACCTCAATGCTTCTACCATGCTCAGTGCTTCTACATTTTACCCATTACAGTTTATTTCCAGCAGGAGTCGAGGTAGTGGTCATCAGAATACAGGTCTGATCATGTCTCTTCTCTGCTCAAAACTCTGCAGATGCTTCCATTCCTCAAAAGAGAAAAGCCTAGACCCTTAAAAGGGCCCAGAAGGCCCACCTGTGCCCACTCTTCCACCTAGCCTTACCTCTCATACGTCCTCACTTCTTGCCCTTCTCTTCAACCGTTCCTCTCTAGCCAAGAAGATGGCCTCCTTACTGGTCTTTACATGCCAGATTTTCTTCTACCTTCTACCATTGCACTGCTTTTACCTCAGATAGTGTCATGATCCACCCCCTCCCTTTCTTGAAGTTTTTTCTCAAAATTCATTTTTTCTCAAATTGAAAAAATGAAAAAATAAACAAAATTCATCTGGTCCTTAGGTCTTCCATAGGTACCCTATCTAAAACTAAAACTGAGGCCTCTCTGGTGGCCTAGGGATTAAGTCTCAGCACTATCACCACCTTGGCCTGAGTTCACTCCCCGGCCAGGAAGCTGACCCACGTGACACAGCAGACCTCTCCTGTTTTGCCCACTGCAGTGTATTTCAGTAGATCCACCTGTTGTGCTCCCCACTTTGTCTCTGGTGAACCCTCTCATATCCCACACCTCTGCCCTACACCCCAGTTCTTCTACACAAAAATAAATTAAAAAAAATTTAGGGCCTCCCCAGTGGCACAGCGGATTGAGAGCAGGGAGCAGACTGTCAAGCTGCCCGATGTCAAACTGTCTGCAGCCTCTGAAGCATGGGTTCGATTCCCCGCCAGCCAGGGAGATACCCATATGGCGCGGCAGACCTCTCCTGCCTCGCATGCTGCTCCCCTCAGCAGTGTTTTTGGTCCATCCGCCTGTTCTGTTCCCTGCTCTGTCTATGTTGAATCCTCTCACCTTCCCACACCTCTGGCCTGTACCCCAGCTCTTGTATAAATAAATAAATCTTAAAAAAAAATACCTAAAACTGACCACCCACAACACTATTCCTTTTTCTCAGTTCTTTTATGTATAACACTTATCCTTTTCTATTCTATAGAAATGGATTGGTTATTACAGTTATTTTTTATAATCTGTCATGCTCACCTTCGAAATACAAGCTCCATGAGAAGCTTGTTGTTCCCTGAAACTAGAAAGCATGTAACATAAGAGATGCAGAAATGCATGTTAACTGAGTAAGTAGTATCATCTGTATAATAGATTAATTTAAAAATAAGAGTAACGGGCCTCCACTGGTGGCGCAGCGGTTGAGCGCTGGGCTGTGAAGCTGCCTGCAGCCTCTGCAGCGCCGGTT